TCCTTGGAAGGAAGGTTGGGCAATCTACTTCCGTAGTGATACCGCCTTGGAAACCCAAGGAGGGGTCACTATGAGTTGAGTCTGACTTGACTGCATGTAATAATAGCAATAAATATTTAGCTATTTTACATATCCTAAAGAAAACTGATTTGTAGTTTGAGATTTTAATTTTTTTAACCAGAACAATCTTTTTGTTTACTCTTAAGGCTGCAGCAAGACATCAGTGCTCCTACTTAGTGAATCTCCATGTAAATGATTTCCTTCATGTTGGGGGAGACCCCAAGTGGCTCAATGGCTTAGAGAATGCACCTCAAAAGCTACAAAATTTAGGGGAACTCAACAAAGTATTAGCCCATAGACCTTGGCTTATTACCAAAGAACACATTGAGGTAAGTCATGAGTAATATGTCAGGTGTCCTTAATTTTTAAACATTTTAAACTAGTTCCTTCTGATCCTGTTTAGTAATAAGGATAGTAGAGTAAAAGTAGAGTGATATTCTCTACAAGTGTCTGCCATGCATTAGAAATTTTTGAAAACACATGTTTTTTGGTCTTGTTTTTCTAGTTTACATCAAGCACATTCTAGATACTGTTACATAATTGAAGCATATTATTAAGAAGATAAAGGATTTGTATATAAGTAATGCATTGTCTAGTATATCAGGAAAGAAAAGAAATTACACAAGATTTTGAAATAGATGATGAAACAAAAGTGATACAGAATTGAATTCTAGGTGTTCTTTGGGCATATATATATATATATATATATATATATATATATTTTTTTTTTTAACTTTTATTGTGGTGAAAACATACACCAAGACATTCACCAACATAACAACTTCCATATTTACAGCTCAGGGACATTGATGACATTTTTCTTGTTATCAAAAAACCAAACTCAACTGCTGTCGAGTTGGATCCAACTCATAGCGACCCCACCTTGGGTTTCTGAGGGGGTATTACTACGGAAGTAGATTGTCCAACCTCCCTTCCAAGGAGTGGCTGATGGGTTTGAACTGCCAGCCTTCTAGTTAGCAGTCAAATGCCTTAGGCACTACGCCATCAGAGCTCCTTATTTGTCATGTTGGACCATCATTATTGCTATTCTTTTCCAAAATATTCTACCACTATAAGCATAAATTCAGTGCCCCACAAACAGAAGCGTCCCCTTTCCCCCTCCCTCCTAACTGGATATAATTTTTTAAATATAATTTTATGATTTAGGAATATTTAGAGTTTTAAGTTGTTCACAGAGGGACATTGGTGGTTTAGTGGTAGGATTCTCACCTTCCATGCAGGATACCTGGATTCTATTCCTGGCCATGTACCTCAGTAACACCCACTAACCCATTTGTTAGCAGAGGCTAATGTGCAGCTATGATGCTGAACAGGTTTCAGCAGAACTTCCAGACTAACATAGACTAGAAAAAAAGATCTGGCAATCTACTTCTGAAAATCAGCCAAAGAAAACCATATGGATCAAGTAGGAGGGGGAGCAAGATCATAGCTTAGTCATACATACCTTGCCATACTGCTACAGCAAAGACATGAGAGAACAAGTGAAATAGATACAGATGACAGTCTTAGAACCCTGATCAGCAAATGGAAGAATAAAGAATTAGTTCAAACACCAAATGGAAGGATAAATTAGATGAAAACAGTGAACAAGTGACATATGGATTGTAGGTGCCCTGCCAGGTGGCCCAGCACTACATGGCCATCTTGAGAGAAAGCAAGCACTCTTCCTGAGTGGGGAGCATGAAAAGGCAGCTTCGTGGAATTTTCAATACAGTGTAGACAAGTAGGGAGTAAAGCAAGGAACCATCTGCACCTCTACCTAACAATGTGCAGGCATTTCTTATGTCTTCATCCAGTGTCCGCCCATATGCAACATCACACATCCCACACCCAGATAGTTCAAGCATGCTGACTGTGTATCACTGAAATCCCTTGATGCTCCACCATCTATTGAGATGCCAGTTCATGCATCTACTGCGGTCCTATCCCATCCATTTAGTAAATCACTCCCTCACAGTGGCTACAGAAATGCCCTGCCCTGCCCTCCAGAGGACACACTAACTGCTAACACCAATTTAGAAGGACCCCACAGTACCACAAGGGCTGTGGTGGGACCCTAACCATCCAACACTTGTCACCTACCATCAGGCAAAGAAACTATTCTTCCACGTCCACTCACCTTAATGCCTCAGAGACAGTAGGAAAAATAATCATATGAAGAAAATAAGATAGGATAAGATGGCTCTAACAAGTGAGCAGAAATAAAGGGACAGAAAGCCTTCCTGAGGAAGAGATGGTAATAGAACTACCTATTAAGGAGTTCAAAACACTTATATTGAGGATCATCAAAGAGATAAGGAAAATACAACACCAACAAAGCCTTGGAAGAATTAAAAACAAAAATTTTAAAAAAATGACAAAATAAACAATTAGAAACCATACAGAAACAGCAACTAGGAATTCAGAAGATTAACAATAAAATTTCAGAAATAGATTAAGTCATTGGAAACCAAAAATAAAAAATAAACTCACTGCTGTTGAGTTGATTCTGACTCATGGAGACCCCATTAGGTTTCTAAAGCTATACATCTTTATAGAAGCAGCCTGCCTCATCTTTTTTCTTTGGAGCAGCTGGTGGGTTCAAACCATGGACCTTTTGGTTAGCAGCCAAATGCCCTAGCCACTACACCACCAGAGCTTCTTAACTCATTGGAAGGAAATGAAAATAGAATTGAATCAATGGAAGAAAGAATCTGCAAAATAGAGGACAAATACCAGAGGGACAATCAGATAAAAGGAAGAAGCCTAGGAGTTACGTGGGTCACTATCAAGGGGAAGAATTTATGCATAATTGGAAGTCCAGAAGAGGAGAGAGAAAAAGCACAGAGAATTTTTGAAGACTTACTGACAGAAAACTACCCTGATATCATGAGACATGAGAAAGTTTCCATCTAAGAGGTTTACTGGACCCCATATAGGATAGACCGCAAAAGAAGGTCACCAGAACACCACAGTGAAGCTTTTCAAAACCAAAGACAAAGAATTGTGAGAGTAGGTTGTGAAAAATGAAATATCACCTAAAAAGGGGCACCAGTAAGACTAAGTGCTGATTTCTTGGCAGAAAGTATCCAGGCAAGAAGGCAATGGGATGACACATTAAAAAAAAAAAAAAAAAAAAACTGAAAGAAAATTCCCAACCAAGAATCATATATCCAGAAAAACTGTCTTTCAAATACAGTGGTCAAACTAGGACATTTTCAGATAAACAAAAACTGAAATTTATGAAAAGTAGACAAATCTTACAAGATATAGGCTGTCCCTGGGTTACAAACAAGATCATTTTCTAACTGTCTTTAAGTGGAATTTGTAGGTGAGTTGGAACAGGTGCATACAGTTCTTATTTAGCCTTACTTTAGTGCAGGAAAGGCTTAAGCTTTTTCAGTGATTTAAAAGCTGCACATACAGCAGGTGAAGGTGATGATGATGAATTTTGTTGCCAGGAGAATTTTGGTTCAGTCATTTCAAAGTGAGTGCAAATTTACATAACATTAAAGGGCAAGTAGGAGTTGTCTGTAAGTTGGATGTTCATAATCCAGGGACTTACTGTATACTAAAGGGAGTCCTTCAGAAAGAGAACCAATGACATCAGACAATGACCCAACATCAAGACACACGACAGCATCTCCTAGATACCAACCCAGATAAAGCACTCTCAAAAATAAAATAAAGATGCAAAACTGAAAAGAAGGAACCAGAGTTCTCACTCTATAAATGATGAGAACTTCAAAATATAAAGGGAGAATAAATAGTGTAGTCAAGGGGACATCAATATATAACAGACTGCTTTAAAATTAGGAAGATAAAGGTCAACGTACGAGTAACCACAAAGAAAATTAATAAATTTACTCATGAAAATAAGAAGAAAATAAAAAAGACTCAGTAAACACACAATCAACAATGAAGGATACAAAACCAAAAAAAAACCCTATAAACAAAAAGAACTCGGCACACAAAACTAAGTGGAACAAAGTAACCATTAATACCACACACAAAAAAATAACAAGATAGCAGCAGTAAATTCATACCTATTGATAATCACAGTGAATGTAACTGGTTTAAGTATACCAATCAAAAGACAGAAAGTGGCAGAATGAAGAAGAAGAAGAATACCCATCTATGTGTTGCCTATAGGAAACACACCTTAGACACAATAACATAAATAGATTAAAAATCAAAGGAGGAAAACTTTATCAAGCAAACAGTAAACAAAAGAGAGCAGGAGTGGCAATAATAATCTCTGATAATAGACTTAAAAGTCAAAATCCATTATAAGAGACAAGGATGAGTATTATATAATGATGAAAAGGTCAATCCACCAAAAAGACATAACCATAATAAATATTTATATAGCCATTGGAAGAACCCCAAAATACATAAACTCTAGCAGAATTTAACACACAGATAGACAGTTCCATAATAAATTTTAACACACTTTCAATGATAGAACAATTAGGAAGAACCTCAACAAAGATACAGAAAATCTAAATAACAATCAACCAACTCAATCCTGTAGACATACATAGAACACACTACCCACCAGCAGCACAGTATGTATTCTTTTCCTGTGCACATAGATCATTTTCCATATTTTAGGCCACAAAGCAAACCTCAATAAATTTTTAAAAAAATCAAAATAATACAGAGCATCTTCTCCAATCATAACACTATAAAACTAGAAATCAACAGAAAGAACAAGGAAATAAATAAATAATGGAAACAGCATAACACCTTACTTAGCAAGTACTGGATAATAAATGAAATTAAAAAAATTCTTGGAACTAGTGAAATTGAAAATACAATATACCAAAACCTTTGGGACACAGCAAAAGCAGTGCTCAGAGGAGAATTTTTATAAGAATAAATACACATACCAAAAAAGAAGAAAGGGCCAAAATCTATAGTTTAACCCTATGTGATAGTTGGGATTATGTGTCACCTTGGCTGGACCATGATTCTGAGTGGTTTAAGCAGTTGTGATGTGGTTATTCCCATAATGAGATCGGATGTATATGCTTTGAGCAGCCAGTCTGTTGAAAAGGTGTTTTCCCAGGGGTGTGCCTGCTTTCCATATATATATGGATGGATATCCTGGAAAAATGAGAGACTCTTCTGTGGATCTAGATCTGTTGTGTTGCCTCTGACTGTCTGTGAGCAAAGAGTCCACCATTCGGCTTAGTGATACTGGATTCATCATCTGCTGGAGTCAACAGCTGGTGTACTACCTGCCAGCCTTGAGCTTGTCAACCCCTGAAGCCCGAGTTGGGAAAAGATTCCAGAGTGCCGTTTCATCCAGGAACTTGGGACTTGC